AGAAGGCAACACATAGATTTCTTCAGGTATTCGACGGATTTGGGCCCGCTGGAGCAAGAGCATTTCGCGAGAGTCACATGAAGGCTCTCAGGATGGTCCTGGGAGGCTCTCAGCTCGAGCGCACCTCTTCGGTGCATCTGTGGGAAGCCCCGCGAAGTTCGAAGGATCGTCTTCGGCAGCGCGTAAAAGAGGGCGGCGTTCGGGGCTTGGGCCTTTGGGAAAAGCCTGCGCCGCCATGCCTTCTTCGAAGGCCCCCCCCCGGCCACACCTCCGGCGCGCCGCCACCCCCCGTGAGGCTTTTAGTAGAATTTTTGCGGGATCTCGCAGAGCTGGCCCCCCCCCTGCCACATTCTCCTCGCCCACCAATCCACCCCAACCCAACCCAAAGGCTCCGATTCGCCATCCATTTCCAGTGTGGAGGGGTCGGGGAATATTGAAAAAACACATTTGAAGCCCGTACACCCCCCCCAACCCGAAATTCGGGTCTTCGGGTTGGGGTTGGGTTGGGGTGGTCTGGTAGGTAGTCACATTCTTGGCGCCCCCTGACGCGAACGCGAGCCGCGCGGTGTCCTCTTCTCCTTCCTCCCTCGTCCGTCGAGGGAGGGACGGATGGAGGGAGTTGGAGCATCAGTCGGACGGGCCTAGAATCGAGATAAATCCGTTGCAGAGCGTGCAGGAGCGCTCTCAGGGCGTTCTGGAGCGCTCCGAGGCGGCCGCGGCGCCCAATACATCTTCCAAGCCCGCCGATCTTCAGAGACTCGATTAATATCGGTCCGATTGTGTCTCGATTCTGCCTCATTTTGATGATGTTCCAACCTACTCTAGCCTTGACCACCAGAAAGAATTTCGAGCACCAAGAAAGTACCGAAACTGGATGGTTTTCACGTGTCGTGCCCTGGGAGGCGATACTCGTTCGACATTGTTTCGGTACTTTTCCGGGTGCTCGAGGTTATTGCCGGGATGTTGTCCTTACGTACGATGGGAACAACAGAACCTTCGTCGCACAGAGGGTAAGGGCGTTGGGGCAGCAGTCTGAACAGTGGGACCCCGACCCCAGCCCCCACAGCATTGGATTTTGAATGTCAACGTTTTACAATTCATGGCGAATGTGCGTCGGTGTAGGCGCCCTGTAACCCAGGCCATTGCGGCCATTGCCAGCTGTCAATGGGTGGGGGGGGGCCCGCGCGCGCGGTCAAGCTGGTCGAAGGTTCCTTACGTGAGGGGCGTGGGGCGGTTTTCATGCGCTCACAGTCTGCCCCCGGGGCCCGCGCGGCATCGCTGCCTGAGCCGCCGGTCGAGACGCGCCAGCAGCTGGCCTCCACGGCGTCCTCGGAGCCGGTGCCGCGGGTGCTGGCGGCGGCCTACCGCGAAGGCCCTGCCACGCCGCGGGGGGCGGGCGCGCGGAGCAGCGGTTAGCATTCAGTCGGGCATGTCAGTCTACAGGAGGAATATCCAAAAATTGTAAAAACAAATGGTTTGGGGACGATTGTTTGAATGTTTCTGGAGTATTTCTTATTTCTCGTCCACAAGATCCGCCTGCAGGAGGACATGTCCGACCTGAAGTTGGCAGCGTGGGCGGGCGGGCGGGCGGGCAGCGCGGGAGGAAGGTCAGAGGAGGCAGAGGTACGTATGTTCATGCGGCGATGGCGCGCCCCCGGCGCCAGCGAAAGCGGCGTTCAAGGTCGAGCTCCGCGTAACAGAACGACGCGGAGCCATTGAGGGGCACGGTAACGCCACAGGATCCGACGGAGTTCGATTTTGAATGATTGGGGCCGCGATCGGTTCAAGGTTGAACTCTCGATGCGGTGTCAAACAATTTTTTCCCGCCTTGACGCCGCAAGAACTTGCCGTACCCTTATCGCCCCTTCCTCGTTTTCCCATTTTGGGCCTCCTGGGAGGCCCTCGTCGCCACCGCTGGATTTGCCTCGAACTGCTGGTCAGAAAGGCACCCCGGGAGATGTCCGGAGAGCATCGGTATCGGTACGTTTTGGGTCCCCCAATTCAGGCGCAATGACAGGGAGAAGCGGAATTGGAAGCGCCGGATATCGTCCCGGTTCTGCGCCAGTTCCCACCATTTGTGGATGTGTTCTCGGAAGCAGCCGCGTCATGTAAAAAAGAAGTAATGTCTTCATCCCAAATTTTCTTCTGTCCACCACGTTGGGATAGGCAAAATGGAGTGTGCATTGACACCCAATTGCCCATTGATCGCCGACAGGAGCCCGACAGCCCCACCCCGCCCAGCAGCGTGCAGAGTCGCCATCGGGGGCCTATCGCCGATCTATCGGCGTCGATGTACCGCCGATTCCAGGTCGATGTCTCCCCCCTATGCCAGTCCCCCCCGTATCGTCTTGGCATCGCTCGGACGTGCGCATTTTTTCACGGCGAGGATCATCGAGGAGCATCCTGGATCACTTAGTAAAACGAGCACGCACGAAACCGAAACATGCACGGGGCAGGGACGTCCGGGCGATGGCGAGTCGGTGACCCTCAGGGATGGAAGGCCAGAGGTGTTCAAAATTAGCGGCCCGTGCTAGCAGATCTCTTTGGCAGTGTTTTCGTATAGCGATTCGGTCATAGCTGCCCAGGGGGTCACGGCGTCAGACACAGCATAATCCCTCCCTTCGGGCATGGCTTGACCTAAACGGCGTTCTCGTTTTGATTTCGTTTTGCAGCAAAGGCCGAACGAAGACAGCACGAGGGAGGGAACGATAACAACGGGAAAATGGAAAACGCCGTTCAGCATGATTATCCCTGCATTCGGGTCCTCACGAAGCTTCGCTGGGCGATAGGCGCAAGATCCTCATTCGGCGCGTGCTTGCTCGAAGATGGTGCGCCCCCAGGCTAGACAATGATGAGTTCCAGGACCGCCCCATAATGGGCCGATTTCCCACCACCACTACTATGGATAGCAGAGGGAGGAGGAGGAGGAGGAGGAGGAGGAGGAGGAGGAGGAGAGGAGGAGGAGGCTGAGGCGGAGGCGGAGGCGGAGGCGGAGGCGGAGGAGGAGGAGGAGGCGGAGGCGGAGGAGGAGGAGGGAGGAGGAGGAGGAGGAGGAGGGGGAGGGGGAGGGGGAGGGGGAGGGGGAGGGGGAGGGGAGAGGGGGAGGGGGAGGGGGAGGGGGAGGGGGGAGGAGGGGGACGTGGGGGAGGAGGAGGATGAGGAGGAGGAGAAGGAGGAGGGAGGAGGAGGAGGAGAGGAGGAGGAGGAGGAGGAGGAGGGTGGAGGAGGAGGAGGAGGAGGAGGAGGAGGAGGCGGAGGACCTCCCCATCGTCCTTTCTCCCCCGTCCTACCTACGGTAGTGGTGATGGAAATTGGCCCATCACTCCCAGGTGCATTCCGAGCGTGCTCGAGGATGGTGTGTCCGAGGGCCAGACCATGGGGTTGTGCCTTGTCGGAGGCGGTCTGTGGGGCCCATCTTGGGATCTCCGGGGAGCCTCGGGGGCCGTCTGTTGGCGATTTTGTTGGCTTCCCGGGCCGTCCTAGGTCCTAGACGCTCTTGTGATCGAAACGGCAATACAATCCGCATGCTGGAACAAACTGTTTCTGAATAGTGTTCGGCCTCTAGGGCTGGTCCCGACTCCAAAAGTGGCCTGGAGACCCCAAGCACTTCTCAAGGACGAACCCCTGGTCTTGGGGCATGCCGGGAGCTTGGTTTCAAAGGATGTTTCTGGGGCCTCGGGACAGGCCATGCGACAAGCCTCGAGGGCGTGCACCCGCGAAGGGGGGGTCTTGTGCCCAATTTGATGAGCACGCACAGCGGTTGATGAAGGACGTGAAGGCACTTCACTCAGTGCCTGCTGCACGGCGGCGGATTCTACACGGTACCTCAGACATTCCACGGAGGGGCGCTACAGTCGGCATCCATGCCAAGAATCGCTCTGCGTGCCTCCAGGGTGCACCGGGTTTCTTGGGCTTCCATGGTTTTGTTACGGAAAACGTGAGGCTCCCACACCAACAGTCAATGGACGTCTTGGGGGTCTCACGGTTGGGTTTCTTGTGGAAGGTTTCTTGTGGTCGAGTTCCTATTGTAATGGGATGTTCGGTGTAGCCCATCACTATCATGAATCGCTTTTGTATCTGATGCAGTAATGTTGACAACTTCTGTTTGGTTGATTTCACGAGGCGCCTAACGGACGACAGTGAGTACGTTGCAATTCCTGTTGGTTTGGGGCTACAGCAAGCGCATCGCACTGTCAGTTAGTTCAATAAGCAATGCCGACAAGTTTCTCGTAAGGACGGTACCCTTATATTGTCAAATGTGAACCTATTTGTTTTCCGCCCCGATTGCAGGTTGCGATTGCAGATGCGGCAATTGCAACGGTTTCGATGGTTCCAGGGCCGGATTGTGCCAAGGGTATGTTTTGGTGCCCCCGTGTGCGTATACCGTGGTGCAGTGCATGCTTGGCCCAGATTTGGGGCCGGAATTTCCCATGGGGGAACCCCTCCCCCCAGGAATTCCAAGGCGGGAGCCCTTGACCCTTGACCGTGCCGAGACAGTCCGCAGATTGCCCACGAGAAGCCTCAGGTGGTTCTCCGAGGCTTCCCCTCGGCCCCAAGAGGTCTTAGGAGGGCCGATTGCAAGAGGCTCCGAGGGAGGTTCCGTTCAGAGAGTCTCTGGGAACACAATGGCCTCTGCGTTCTGAGAATTGCCCCCGGCAGCCTGAAATGTCAACATCCAGTTGATGTTTGATATTTTTGGTATGTGTGCATTGTCGATTGAGCGTAACTGCAAAAGGGTGTCGACTCAGCATGACTTCAATACGGGTCCAGAGGGCCTCATGAAGAGTTCAAGACGGCCCGATCGGCCCAATACCACGCCAAGACAACCCAAGTTTATACCACAAGGTGGGCTCAAGACGCCCCAACAGTTTCAATCCGCAGCCATTTTGGCTCAAGAGCATTGCCGAGCAGACTGCAAGCAGGGACTGCTGCACTGGCACCGAGACCGCAGGCACACTCCCAACATGGCGCGCGCGGGTTCCCGCAGAGGCAATGTTCTCATGATGGCTCGTTTCTTGCACAAGACGCGCTTGTGCACTTACTATGCGAACGGGTACTGCGCCCGAGGGGAAGATTGCAGCTTTGCGCACAGGAGCGCCGACGTGCGCACAGCTCCGGACTTCTCCTACACTCAGCCGTGCAAGAGTTTTATGAAGACCGGGAAGTGCATGCAGGGCGACGCCTGCAAGTTCGCCCACGCCCTGGGCAAGATGTTGCCTTGGAAGTGCAGCGAGGCGGAGCACGACGATCACGGCTCGCGGTGCAACCTCGAGGAGCGCACGCGGGAGTGCGACCAACCGAGGGCCGTGCAGCGCGAGCGGCAGCAACGCGCATCGTGCTTGTCCCCGTGGGCCCTCGACGGGCGCTCCGTGACCGCCGGCCCAGCCCCACGTCTGCGGGAGGTGCCCGCGCTCCGTGGGCGGGAGCTGCCGTCGCTGAAGGCCACCGTCAAGCGCTCGTTCCTCCACTTCTTCGTGGCGAAGGAGGAGGACCTTGGAGGGTGAAAGTGGAGGTCGGGCGCAGGGTCCCGGAAATGGTGTCTTTCTGGGTCATGAATGGGCGATGCATCCTCGATTGCTGTGTTCGGGGGTGCCAATTGAAGCTCCCCGCCTGCACCCACGCGCGAGACTTGAAGGGAAACGAAGCAAGGGGGCGGGGGGCTCGGGAAAGGCGACGAAGGCAACGTGCGCTGAGGGCGCAAAAGGACAATGTTGAAATAAACGAAAGCGGTGAGGTGAGTGTCAAAATCTGCCCAGCCAATCTGACATGCGGAGCACTGCGCCTCAGATTTGGGGATCTTGAAGGCCAGGGCAAAATGTGAGTTCACATTGTGGGGAAAAGCAAACTGTGAATTCACATTTTGGGAAAAGGAAGATGTGAATTCTCATTTTGGGAAAAAGGAAACTATGAATTCACATTTTGGAATTTTGTGTAGGAATCTTTCTGAAGGGGCCAGAATGTGAATTCACATGTTGGGAAAAGGAAAATGTGAATTCACATTCTGGGAAAGGAAAATCTGTATTCACATTTTGGGAGAGTCGCGGGACCCATTCCAAATCTGTCTTGGGGGTCGATAGTTCATCTTTTGGGAACATACGCGATCATCAATCGCACAATCAAGACACTTGCATTCCACTTCGCAACCCCACGCGCAGAATGCAAGAACGCCCGCACGCATGAACGATAATGGATGGACGGCGCGTGTGCCCACGCGGGCAACGCGCGGGCACGAACGACTGGCCCTCCATGACCGCCAATATTGGATGCCAATCGTTCCCGATCGCATACATGAGCGATACATTGAGCATACATGGGCCATTCAGCCCCCATTGAAGACCCCCTGTTGCAGACCCTCTCTTTCACCCGAGGACTGGATCGGCTGTTGCCGCCGCTGGTCGTCGGCGCCGCCGGTGGCCCGGTTGGGCTAGGTTCTGGGCCCAACGGCGCCTTTTTTGCCGCGACCCAGCACAGCGCCTGATAACGCACCCAGGTCAGGCGGCTCCCCACCTTTGATGCTCGTGCTGCTTCCCTCGCGGGTGCCAGCTCGCAAGGCCCAAACTGGGATCGACGTTCGTTTTTCAGGGTCCAGTCGCCTCGCTGTCCTTTCTCTGATCCCCCATTGCCACTCCTTTCTCAAAGGTTTTCTCCGCTCCCCGCCCCCCCCCTTTGTCATCATCATCATCGCTCCCCCCACCCCTTGAGAGCATTGGAACCTGCTAGGGCAGCAGCTGGCTTCAAACCAGCGCTGGCCACTCGAAGACCACAACTTGCGCCGGCCAGCCTGCCTTCGTAGCGCTCCGTCTTAGCTGCTGGAAGACAGACAGCTCTGCACCTAATTCGTGGCTTGGAGAGCCGACACCCTTCGTCAACATCATCCTCCCTATGCCTAACGTTACCAGCCTTCTCGAAGGTCCTCGCTACCTTCTCTTTCAACAGCTTTTTCTAGCCTCCCATTTCGTGGTATGTTTACCCCATGTGGTAAACCACTGAGATTTGCCAGTGCCGTGCTGGCCGAAGATACTCGCTACGCAGTTATTGCAAGGCGCCATAGCAGTTCACAAATCTTGCGCACTCGTGGAGACTGGTAACACGTGTCTGCATCCATGTTATCATCCACATTTTTGCTAACTATAATTTTGCAGAGGTGGCGCGGTCTGAGACGAGACGCACATCTCGGCCACGAGTTCGCAAATCTTGCGCACTCGTGGAGACCGGTGTCTTCGTCCATTCTGTCGTCCGCATTTGCCATCTATCACTCTGCAGAGGAGGCGCGGTCTTAGGCGAGATGGGAATCGCGGCCACGAGTTCACAAATCTTGCGCACTTGTGGGACCGGGTCTTCGCCCATTTTGTCGTCCGCATTCTTGCCATCTGTAACTCTGCAAAAGTGTCGCGGTCTGAGACGAGACGGGATCTTCGACCACAGCCGCAGTCTGCGATTCTTCTTGTCCTGGTCCGCACGACTGTCTGGAGCCGACCTGACGTCCCGATTTGGTTGATAACTGCCTTGAGGCGCCCCAAAAGCCATGTTACTTCGAGTCCTCCCTCGGGGAGTGCCTGGAAGGGCCGTGGCGCGTCCTGGCCACGACCGCGCCCCCTTTCTCGGGTCCCGACGCCTCGGCGCTGCCTGTTCGAGCAGCCAGGCCGTGCCCGCGGACGGTAGTCCTTCCTTCCTCCCTCCTCCTCCTCCCCCTCCTCCTCCTCCTTCTCCTTCTCCTCCTAGACTGCACGCAGCAGTTGGTGCAAGTGTTCCTTTTTGCTTGTGCAGTAGCTCCTCTCTCTCGGAGATCATCCGCTTCATCCTGTATTGATCGATGCTGGCGCAGACGAGTGTTCAAACGCTTGCTCTGCTCGAGCCATCACCACGACCCCATGGCAATGCCCGTTGCACGCCATCCCGCCGACTGGCAAGCGCGTTCCCCTCTCGTCCCTCCGTTGACCTCCTTGCCCTTCCCCTCCTGGAGAGTGTGGGGCGCTTTCGCTGGTGGCCTGGTGGGCAAAGCTTGCAGTTCTGACTGCGATCTGCGATCGGCGCCCTTCCTAAGCCCTCTCTTCGAAGAATCAGGTTGTGCCTTCACATACCTGTTCGACGGTCTGCCTGGATTTCTTGGATCTGCGCTGGCCGCCCCTGGTGGCGCCTCCACCGCCGCCCCTGGCGCGTTCCGCGCGCCAGGGACGGGGTCCAGCGCAGATCAAAGAAACAAACGCGCGGACCGAAAGTTCATTTTCACGCCAGAGAGTCTTCCTCTAAGTACTCAAGTTTCGCATTGGCCTCCATCTGAAGATTGGAGCCTCTCTGTGCGCAGGGCGCTGGTTGGTACAGCTTGGACTCTCCGCTACTGTTTTGCGGACGATCGTGAGTATCATTGTTGTGTGGGGGATACCAGACGCCCCAAAACATGTCAAGATGGCCCAAGAGGTCACCCCAAAGGCCCCCAAGACGCAAATTACTGAGTAAGTGACTGACTAGGTGGCGTCCTGATTGCTTACCTGACCGAGGAGGGTGTCGTTTTCCACCTCCCATGGTCCTTGACTATCCCTCTTCCCTCCCCCTTCCGCCTCCATCCTCCCTCTTTTCTCCAGCCTATCTCTCCCTACTCAGTACTCCTTCCTCATTCCTCCTCCCATTCCCTCATAGACTCTGCCTTATCACACCCGTTTGTTTTCCCGTTCCTTCGCCTTCACTTCGTAAATTCTGTCAGTGTAGGTCAGCGTCCGTTGTGGAGTTCCGTCTAGGAGCGCAATGAGTTGCGACATTGACCTGCCTTGCGCCAGAAGTTCAGCGCGCGAATCGAGCGCGTGGTTCTAGTGTGTAGTTCGGCGTTCCTGTGCGATGTCCAGGCAGATCGTGTGAAGGGTAGGCTCTTTTCCCAGCCAGCACACCACTTCACGACCATCGCAACGCGTTGGTTCAATCTTCTCGAGCAAGGTGTAACGCCGGTCGCGGGGCTCTTGCTGAGAGCACCAGCTCGCCGTCGCCTCCAAGTCCAGAAGTCGATCGCCGAGTCGCTCACCGTCGCCACTTGCGTCAGCACGCCCGTCGCTCCGAGGCAGCCTCGGGTCGGCGGGCTTCGCCTATCCCCGCCAGCCCATCCAGAGACGATGCCCGTGCGAGCTGCCTGAATCAGGATAGCGTAGGAGCACGCAGTGGAACAGAGAGGAGGAGACGCCGACACATCAATGTTGTGGGTCCAGCCTGGGCAAGTCCAGGTGTGACCCAGGCTTTCGCTCGTGGCTCTGCCAGTTAAGGAGGAGGACGAGGTTGAAGAGAGGACGAAGAGGAGGGGGGAGGAGGAACATGATGGGGGAGGAGGAGGAGGTGGAGGAGGAAACGTTGGGGCCCTGAGGCCCCCCGAGGCCACGCCGAGCGCGACCACAGTTCCCATATTGCAACCTGCTCCCCACATTCATTGTTTCCTTCAGGCCCGCGACATTCACTGCGCCCTTCATGATTGCGACATCGGTTTCCTGGATTTCTTCTTCCTCGCCGACTTCGCCTACCACGACGTCCTCTACACGACAGCGCAATCCTGCCTGGCATTGACGATTGCGACGTTAACGCGCGGACGCACGAGTACTACTACGACTGGACCGAGCACGACAACTACTCGAAGTCCACCACAGCGCCCGTCGCCACCATGGTGCCCAAGATGGCTCAGAACTCCAGCTGGCAGCTGCCACAACAAACAGTGGCACCAGCAGCAGCACCAGCAACGACACCAACAACACCAAGGGGACACCACAGGAGCCCCTCGGACACAATGGCGCGCCCGCCCGACGTCGTCGCAGCCAAACGCCACGCCCTTCCACCTCCGACCTACGCTCTAACCGACCTATCCCTTTCACACCCTGACTTTCTCCACGGCTCCCACGCTGACCCTCTCCGAGCGAACTGGGATCATTCCACCTAGGCGCCTTTGCACTGAGACCGCGCCTCTGGGGCGGACCTTCCTTACAGCGGCTGACCGTGCCATCCCTTCATCTCCGAGCACGCCCTTACCCTCGCCTGTCTCATCTGCGGCAACGCACGGACACGTGGCAACAATATTTGGGATGCGGCGACCACCCCAATTACGCCGCCTACATCAATTTCGAGATCTGCACCCACGTTCCTCCCCCAACCTTCACCACCTCCCTGGTAACCTTTACTCCCCCCTTGTGGTCGGGGTGGGCGGTTCGGAGCCGGGACACTATTGGCGGGGAGGGGAGCGCTGTGCCGTCGGAGGCATGGCGTTGGCCATGCTGCCAGGGCTCGAAACCTGCAAACAGATATCACTCCCTCCTCCCGCACCACACGCCATTCACCTCCCCCGACGAGAGTTGCAGTCTACTGCCCTCGTCGGGGGAAGCCGAAGGCAAACCGGACCCACGCAAGGTGACCCCCCCCCAGACAGCAAGCATGACTTTGGACTGGGTACCCTACTTCCTCCTCGGAGGCGGGGGGTACCAGCCAGGATGGCGTCTGCTAGCAGGGGGGGGTCTTGACTGCAGGACCTGAGGCCCTTGTCTTCGGCCGCGCCGCACCGCGGCACCCTCGGAAGGGCCCCGTTAATGGTCTCAAAATGTTTATCCTGCACACCCACCACCTCTTTCCCCCACTGCCCGATGTCTGGTTTGCATCGGGCCATCTGGGCCAATCGCCACTCACACTGATTTCCTTCCTACCTCCTTGCTGCCCCTGTTACTGTCAGCCTCCAGGGCACCGCAAACACTTTCCTCCCATCCTCTGACCAGGAGGGCGCCCCAAGAGGGTAGACCCAGGGCCCCCCCAGGGTACCGAAATCAAGAGGTCGGGGGACCCAAATGGGAGGGGACCCACGTCAGGGCCCTCAGGGGCCCATCCGTGCCTGTCCGCGTTTTGCGGCTTATTTCCACCTCGTTTCCCCCCCTTTCCCGTCGCATGTTATGATTATGTCGGTGCCTCATATCTTTCCTCCTTTTTCTCATGGGGTTGAGCCGCACAACTTTGCCCCACATCTGGCGTCTCACCACTTCCCTAATGAGCCCCCCCTTCCACCAAGGTAGCTGCTGGGTGGGAAGGGCAAGACAGGTTTGCACGGCGACAAACATCGTCTCTTACAGCCGCCAGCAGCAGCAGCAACAGGTGGAGGAGGAGGAGGAGGAGACATGCGCAAGTTTGACGGAACACGTTCCCACTCAATGTTTGGTGTTTGACGTGGGAGGAGGAGGAGGAGGAGGAGGCGGAGGAGGAGGCGGGGGAGGCTTTTACGCTCAAGTTGCTCGCGTCTCGGGATTTTGCTCTAGAAAGAGGCGGGGACTGGGAATTGGGACGACGAGGTGAAGAATGAGCAAACTAGGCGCGCTCGCACCATCTGACACCCTATTCCTCCCACGCCGCATTGCGCCAATTTTTCCACAACGCGGACCTGGACCCCCGAACGTACGCTTTCGTCTTGGGCGCAGCCAGAGACAGGGAAGTTGTGTACATAGGGGGAGGAAGAGGAGGAGGAGGAGGAGGAGGAGGAAGAGGAGGAGGGGGAGGAGGAGGAGGAAGAGGAGGAAAAGGAGCTGAAGGAGGAGGAGGTGGCGGATGAGCTGGAGGATAGTAGGAGGACAAGGCGGATGATCCAGGAGGATAACGGGGAATCGCAGCAACGGCAGGTACAGAAGCGGGAGGACCAGGAAGGTGTAGCAGGGACAAAAAGTGGAGAAACAACGATGAGGACGGACTCGGTCCAGAAGAGTTGCCCGCGTTGGGTCGATAGGAGCAAAGCTCTGGTTCGAAGTGAGGCGTAAGCCCCAGCGGGAACACCGTGCTGAAATACAGGGAACGTTCCGACCGAACCAATCACATCTATCATATCAGCGTTCGAATTATTTGGGGGGAAATGCCAGTGCACCGAGATGACGGGATGTTTGCATCACTTGGTCGAGGGTGGGGGTCGTTGATTACCCCTGCCCCTTCTGGAGCTAGAGCAGTCGCCCGTTGTTGCCCTCTTGGGGCGCTTTCGGAGTCGTTTTGGGGCCCTCCTGTGCTCGGGCTCTCGTGGGCAACCTTGGAGCAACCTTGGGGCATCAAAAGGCAATCGGAACAGGAAAGGCGAGAGGCAACGCCATTCTTTTTCCTCAGGTTTGGAAGTGATGTTGCCTCTGGGCGACTTGCCTGGGAGGCTCCGTGGCCACTGGGAACCGCCTTGCGGTGATCTTGGGGCTTCTTGGACGCATCTTGGAGGCCATTTCTAGCAACCCTGAGCTATCACGTGGGATCTGCCATCTTGGACGCTCTGCGTAACTCCTTGCCCCCCCCTCCGCCCAGACTCAAGTGAGAGGGTATGGGTCAGGAGGGAGAAATAGACACATGCACAAATAAGCGTCGATTCCCATGAACAGATGGGAACATGTGGGACGTGGAGGGGAAGACGAAGGTACGGCCAATCTGAAAAGCATATTTGGAATTCTGCGATTTGTGTCTGTGTATCGGTATCTCCCTGGGTACCCTTAGTGGGGGAGGGCCAGGCAGTGTGGCCACCGCAGGCTGTCTCGCTCACGCTCTTCTGCCCTCCTGCTATAGAAGTAGCACCGGGCCGTATGCAGAGGCAGGCACCCCCAGTGGCCGCGGGGTGCGCCGCTCGTGCCAGTCGCGCGCAGAGTGCGCCATGTGCGGCAGCGCGCGTCACAACACATGTTGGGCAATCTGTCGACAGCACCACCACCCCTGTCAAACACCAGTGCCAAACGACGGCGGGGTTGCCAGCGTCGTGCGCCGTGTCGTGTGTGCACCCGTAGGCGGTTTGTGATTTGACAGGCATAGTGGCCTTCGCGCAGCGGGCAATATAAGGGAAGCCCCTTCCCCGCCGTCTCTGTCAAAAAGCAGTGCAAAGTGACGCGGGACCCCCGAGCATGATTTGATGTTTGTGTAACGGGCAGGCTGTGTTGTCTGTTGGCAGGGATGGGGGGCGGGGCGGGTGTTGGCATTGTGCCTGGTCGATTGGTTGCTGGTCGAGTGGGGAAGGGGGTATCAAGGAGCACTGATAAACCCTTCGTCGAAGGGGAACACTGGAGGTGTAAGATTAAGTCGGGCCTGTCCCTCTGTAGGATGAATCTTCAAAACTAGTCAAACATAGTCTGGGGACGATTTTCCTATTGTTTGTTAGACAACTTTCTGAATCTGTGTTGACTATTTTGTGTTTTTCTCTAAAAATCTGCCTGTGGGGACATGCCCGACCTAATGGTAAGAGGAACCGCCCTAAACCGCCTCCACCGCGAGGGTTGGTGAGATTTCCCTCACTTCGCCTGCCCTTGCCAGTCCATCCAGGCACCGCAGTCTCTCCTCCCATCTTTGGGGCGCCTCGTCGTAGGGGTCCTCTTTGACCTCCCTGAGGGGGGTCGTCTCTGCGTCCCTGTGTTCATCTATTTCCTGGGTGTCCCTCCCCTCTTTTTCCCCCTCCTCCTCCTATTTCCCTTCCTCCCCCTCCTGCTCTTCATCCCTATCATCCTTCCTCATTCTTCCTGGCGTGAGTGCGCCTCGACAAGTTGCGTTGCTTTTCGCCACGTTGGCAGGAATGGAATGGAGGGAGCAAAACTTTTTACACATCTGTGGTCCAAGAGGAATTTGCGGGAGGATGTGAAGGAGGACAGACAGTATGGTGAAGAACAGGATGAAGAAGCGGATGGCGGAGAAAGGAGGGCGAGGATGAGGTCTTCTCGGGACCCCCCAGGTTGTCTTGGAGGCAAAGGCGTGCCCCTTGGGCGCGTACTCTGTAGTCTCAGCGGCGCCTTGGAGTTCCTTGGGAGTCCCAAGGGGCGCAATGGGGGGGACCTCTTGGGAGAGTTCAATGAGGCTCCTGGAGTCCTCTCGCAGCTGAATTTTGGTTCCACCCCGGCCCCCCCTGCCCCTGCCTCTCAGTAGCCATTTTGGCACACTTCAAGGCACTGCGCCAGGAATCACGGCATGGATGCGGCGACTGCTCTGTACGCATCGGTCCTTCCCAGTCAGATGACCGGGCTCCTTACCACGACGGCCTTCACGAAGCCTTGCGCCCTGGCAGCGAGGGCATCCCGTGTCGTGCCCGGACGCCGCCACACTCGCACACGCGGACCTGGCAGCAGTGTGCTCGCGATGGGCGATGCACCAGGCGCAGCAGAGGCCGTGACGTGGTCGCCACAGGACCTCACGAAAGATCGCCTTGGCTTTGCCCCGATTCCCCACGAGGACTTCGTGAAGCAGTACGAGCGGAATCCCTCGCTGTGGCCAGTCGAGTTCTTCCTGATTGCGTTCCGGCGGAGGAAGAACAAGGTCACGAAGAAGAGCGAGACGCAAGTACTCGTCAGGAAGTCCGCCAACGGGACATCGAAGTATGGTATTGGCACTGGCGTTCCCGCGACTCGCTGGGTGCTGTCCACGCTGGAGGCTCCTCCGCTTGGCTACACGTGGTCAGAACCGCTTGCATCCAACAAGTCGGGGGCTTCGCGAGTCAGGTTTGAGGCCAGCAATTTCCCCGAATTTCCGCACGGGCAGAAATCCTGGGCATACGACAAGATTGATATTTTGGAGGACGCTTTCAGAGGGCCAGACATGCGGGATTCTGAGCTCGAGGAGTTCGCGAGTAAAATCCGGGAAGGCTTGAGGATCAAATTATCGAGTGGCCTTCGGCGAACCCCGCCACCGTGCCTGGGCTCGGCGTCACCCCAACATACTACTACTGTGAGTGCGTCGCACCCCCAGGGGCGACGCGCGCACCGAGAAGTCTTATAGTATATGCGTCGCGGCGGGAGCTTTCTGGCCACACCGCTGGGGTAACGATATACTACCAGATGGGTATAGAAGGACATAGTGCTTTAGTATATTTCTGTGCGTCCCATGGGTT